TAGGGGGGGCGAGGGAGAGTAATATTCCCACTATAATTACTACAGTGTGGAGGAATAGCGTCCGTTTGGAAAGAAGCAATAGTATGTATGTGTCGTGTAGGTCGTTCAAGTCTTCACCATCACCATTATCGTCATTGCCTTTCGCAGCCTGGATCAGGGTATAGGCCACGAGCAAACACTTTCCACCTTTCCCTATCCTGGGCTAGTCTTTCGAGGTCTTCTCACTTTTCTGTTCATCAATTTCTGTGACTCTTCTCCGGATTCCACCTGGCCTTCCCCTTGATCTTGATCTTTTACACTGTGAGCTCCAATCCATCACTTTCTTTGTTATGCAGCACCCTGACTTTCGGAGAGTATATCCAATTCATCGCCACCGCCTTCTTCTCACTTCATCTCAGATTGGGCTCTATTTCGTTACACTTTACACTTTCTCGTCTGTAGTCCTGTCTGTCCATCTGATCCTCATTTGTTTCCTTAAACACTTGTTCCAGAAATCCTGGATCCTCTCTATGCAAATCTAATAATATGTGTTCCATGTCTCACATCCACAAAATAGGACTGGCTTCACCTTTGAACTAAAAATCTTTAGTTTTGTTCGAAGTGTGATATCTCTGGTCTTCCAAATCCTATTCAAAGATATGAAAAGAGCCTGTGCCTTTCCAATGTTGGACATTTCAACATCTGTTCCACATTTTCTTTCAATTATACTCCTAAGATAGCTGAAGGATTCAACATCTTCTAGTACATTCCCTTCTATTGTGACCAACCCCTTTCGTTGTGTATCTATCCTTTGGAACTTTGACTTTCCGGGGTGGATCCTCAGTCCAGCAGACTCATATAAGCAGTTGAAAACTTAAGTCTTTACTTGTTCCTGTTTGTGGGACAGAAGCGTCAAGTCGTCCGCCCAAAGTCCAGATCGTCCACACGTGTCCATGGGGTCCTCTGTGTCCTCTGGTGGTTTCTTTCATCAGCCAATCGATCGCCAAGATAAAGAGGAAAGGTGATACACCTGTCCAACACCAGTCATGATATCAAAGTTGTCAGTGAGCTGGCCATCATGTGCAACCCTGCAACGTATCCCTTCATACATGCTCTTGACGAGGTACACCAACATTTGTGGGATTCCATGATTCCATAGTGTTGCTCGTTCTGTATTGTCAAAGGCCCTCTCGTAGTCAAGAAAGATGACTATCTGCCTAGAGTTTCACATCTGGGACTGTTCCACTATGATTCTCAGCGTAGCAATCTGGTCCGCGTTTGAGTAATTTTTCCGAAAAAAATAGCCTGTTTATCCCGAAGTCTTGGACCCCTTGCAGTCTTGATCCTCTCCAGAATGATTCTGATGAAGACTTTACGTGGTGTAGAAATAAGAGTGATCCCTCTGTAGTTACCTCAGTAGTTATTGCTGTTTTTCAGATTCCCCTCTTCAGGAAGCTTTTTCCAATCCTTTTGGAACTTTCCAGACCCTGGCAAACAGTGGGAGAAGGAGGTCTGCCGTCACATTGGCATCTGCTTTTATGGCCTCAGGTAGAATTTGAATAAAACCGGCCGCTTTACCTTTGTTCAGCTTCTTAATGGCATCCAGAATCTCTGTTTTGAAGGAGCATCACAGCAGATTGGTAACCCAATTCTAGTTGGCAGGATGTTTAGCAGGTTAATTGGTGGTGGTCTGTTCAGGAGACTGTTGAAATGCTCTACCCATCGTTTCGACTGAGGTTTCTGTCCAAAAATGGCTTTCCCCTCTTGGTCTTTTACTGGTACTAAAGTCATACAAAAGCAAAACAAGAACAAAATGAGCCAGCTTTCACATGGTGTGCACATCTCTAGAGCTTAGCGTTGCTTCTTTAGCCCCTGTATCCTTCCAATCTATTTAAATGAATTTTAAAAAGGAAAAAGATGAATTAATTAATTAATTAATTAATGAAGAAAAAAAGAAAGAAAGAAAGAAAGAAAGAAAGAAAGAAAGAAAGAAAGAAAGAAAGGAAGAAAGAAAGAAAGAAAGAAAATTTTACTTCATTAATCCCCATGGGACATTTGTTTCACAAAGGCGTACACAAAATACACACAAATGTATTAGAGCCACCAGGCAGTGGGCACAGAGGTGTGATCTTAGGTCACTAAGACAAAGACTTGCCCATGGAGACCCAACTTAACCATCTCTGTAAAATTTCTTACTTAGAAATAAGAAGAATTGCTCACATAAGGAAAATTTTCTTAGCATTGATGCCAACAAAAAACAAGTGTTTACCTTCATTTTGTGACGCATTGATTATTGCAATTCACTGTCGCTGGCCTACCCGAAGAAAAAATTGCAGAACTCCAACGGATTCAAAACAATGCTGCCACGCTTGTTTTAAAGCAATCAAAATGCCATCATGCGACTGCCCTACTTAATGAGCTCCATTGGCTTCCACTGAAAGCGAGAGTTGAATATAAGTTAGCCCTACTATGCTTCAAAGGTCAAACTAACTAGTCTCCCATACATTCAAAAACTCATTGTACCATACACACCATCACGTGAACTAAGATCCAGTGGCTCTAGACTAATTTCAACACCTCGCGTGTCATTGAAGAAATATGGTGAGAGAGCTTTTTCTTTTTGTGGGCCTACAGTTGGGAAAACAAAACAACCCAAAATTGTACAATTCCGAACGTTTACGACATCGATTATGGTAATTACATTCTTATTCTTTGGGGTATTTCTTTCTTTGCAATTTAGTATTACTTCTTTATCTTGAGTGTTTTGCGTGCGTGGTGTGTGTGTATGTCTCTCTTTCTCTCTCTCTCTCTCTCTCTCTCTCTCTCTCTCTCTCTCTCTCTCTCTCT